CTTATTCAGGTATTTGCTTAAAACTAACAAGATGTAAATCAGCAAGAAATTCGAAATATATATTTAGAAAGAGCGTGAAATTCTCATTTTAGCTGACTACTTTTAATTTTCTTCTACCAGCTTTAAGTGGATGAAAACCAGAGAGAGATTTTGTACCAAGACTTTTTTAAACAGGTGTTATTTCATTTCAACCCTATATCTGCTGATAGTTGAGCTTAACTTTCGAAGTACATCATGCTGCCAAAAATGGCAAGTAACTTCCGCAGGTCAATTTAACTTAATCAATGCTAGATTGTGTTACAAAAGTCGGAGTTTTCGAAACTTCGAATGTTGATGACGACATCTCAAAACGAGTCGAATGACTCCAAATTTTATTTCGATCAAAATGTACTTATGGATTGTTCAAATATCGGTAAGCTTCAAGTACTCGACGTTGGTCGAGCAAAGAATCTCGATAAGTTGTTGCTCAGAGAATACTTGTAATTTTTGTGCGTTCGTAATGTGTACTAATGAGTCAATGAGTGAAGATAGAAGATTTTATGGTGTCGAAATTTCCAAGGAGTCAATAGTGACCATTTCAAGGTATGCATTTTCAAACAGAAAAAGCAAAATTATTATTGCAACATTAGTTGAATCCTCGAAGCACATCTCCCATGCTTTTCTAAGCTTATTCGAGTAGTGAATGACGCATTTGATTGTCATCTTGTTTTGATTCACTTAAACTCTCTTTCTACTTTTCTTATATCGCAGATGTGGACATCATCAAGATGTGTCATTATAGATAGAGTGCCTATAAACAGAAATAAAATATGATAATCATTCTCATTCGTGACCTATGTTCAACTATTCCTACTTATTTTCCTTGATATTGTACCTCAATTACCTAAGTATTGTGTTAAATAGCAGAGTTTTCTATTCTAATGCCATCTAGTAATAAAACCAGTGCAATTAACGATTACAGTGTAAGAGCTCATGACTTTATACGGAAAATCAAAAATATCGATGAGTATCTGGAAGAATACAATGAGTGAGCCACTTGTGTTTTTATTAACAAAATTTTTTGGACTGTCAGAAGAAAAATATGAAAAAATTATCATGTTACAGCGTACGAGTGCTGTGTGATATATCGTAATAAATCATCAATTTTGTCATAAAGTCAAAGATGTGAGTAAGCTTCAGTCATAAATGATAAGACCTTGATGGAAGTGAAGAGCTTGCATAGTTTATTACAATGTAGATATGAAGAAAATTCGACGTATCACACTTCAGGCATAGTTACATCAGTAATTCTTGCATTAACTAATAGCGGTTTGTTTTGGTTTCTTCTCACTACAATAAGATAGACCAATGTCGTTCCTGTAATTCCAATAGCAGCATACGAAAATACAATGAGTAGTGTCGAAGTCCAATATAAAACAGATGCACAATGATCATCATCGTGAGGTTCCGAGGCGAGTCGAAATAACATAACACTCTTTATCACGCGAGAAATAATCAAATATATGAATATTATACTCGTTGCCAATAAATTCCAATTACTTCGTCCATTCGACGAATCAAAACAGAGCATGACTAGTGCTGTATCGGTTAAAAGAAGGCCCAATGTGCCAGTAATAATGAGTACCAATGGTAGATCAGGTGCATCCGGGCATTTGCCACGATAGACATAGGCTAATATTATTTGAACTATCGAAATAACAAGTAGTATAGAGAAATTAATATAGTTAACGGTTTTGCACATGATTTACACGTATACAAGATATTATCTTTCTTGTCTATTTATTTGACTATTGCAGCTGGAGAAGATTATGACTTGATGATTTATTGTCTGACAGAAATCATTATGTTCTTTAACTGCAGAGTTGTGGAGTCACAAGTGAGTAACAGTTTATTGACAAATATGTCAAGTATTCTCTAACACATTGATAATCGTATGAAGTATATTTCGGAGAGAGATTGATTTCTTCGACGAAAAGCAACTGTTTTTATGTGGCGACCTCGAAATTGTAAGAGGAATGCCGCTGCACCTTCCATTTTATTGTCAACGATGTAATAATAAATCGATGACATTCTTAAGAGTTGATATGCTTTGATCCGATATAGAACAAATAGAACATTAAGTAACCTTTTACAAGAAATTTATTATGTTTGCTTTTTTTAAATCGATGGTAAATGACTGTTGATATATTTTGAATCTTTTTAAATGATTTTTACTAAGTAAAATATATCGAACATTTTATCTAACTGATTATAGCTATCATGATAAAGTTTGAGTGACCTATCAGATCGTCTACAATATAGTTTGATGATTTGTAATGCAAAACTCAAGATGTCTCATGTCTTTTTACATGCTGGGTTTGATCTATGTGGCATCTAAATTAATTTGTTCGATCGTTTCAGTTGTATCTGTTCATGTAATTAAATACTTTATCAGTATTTGAATGGAGCTAGATTTCTTTCAAGTCTCATTGGTTGGTGATGAAAATTAAAACTCGTAATCATTGCAACGACAGGGTACCAGTCAGAAAAGCAGCATCTTCAAATACGTTCGTCTATTCGATTATTTTTTTTATGAATTGTTGAAATAATGTTGCAATTTTCATTAAAAATATGTTCTAAATACATTGGATGATGTTTACTTGAGAGAAAAACTAATTATTCGAGTTGTAGCGTGTACACGTCTAGGCAGTGCTTTTTTTGTCAAAATTGATCGGAGATAAATGTCGATTTGAGCAGTTAACACATGTTTAGACTTGTTTGAATGAAAAGCAAACACTGCCATAGATGCACCTGGAAAAGGCTTTTACTTGATGTTTTCATATTTTTTACTTAAAAAAAGGAAATTATCTCAAATATTTATTCTAAAATTCTCAAAAGTACGTAGATCGAAAGATGCAGAATTTGTTGAACTTGTGAAACATCTTTGAAATTTCAGTAGAATAATTGCTTAAAAAAATATCGATAGTTTTTCCGTTTGTTGACTTTAGCACACGGACAACACTGAGTAGACATTTCATATGTATTCATCATCAGATACTGCATCAAGCTTTGAAAACCTGTTGAAGCTTACGAGCCATGCCTAATTTTCATGTCATGTTATTATTGACTATAAGCGATCGATTTACCGCTATAATAATTAGTTCAAAATATAGAATAAGAATTAAGATGAATTACTTTTCTTTTTGATTTTAATGTTGTTTTTTTTTTTAAATATCCTTTTTTTTCTATATCACCAATTGGATCCGGTTGTCGGTGTGAGTGGTCTTGTAGTTGATCTTCTGTATATTCACACGTACAGCCACTCCCACGAAAAAAATTTGCTCAAACATTTACTGACATTGGACGACTTCTTGTTCAGGTGAAGTTACGAGATAATATACTGGAAAAATTATGAATCATGATTCAAGATAGGAAAGAATTAAACAAAATTTTTATTAAAACTATCAAAGTTGTGTCAAATGGGTTTGTCAATTAGATGAAACAAGGGTAGGTGTGGATGCGAATGTGTGTGTATCTTCTCTTCAACCATCCAACATCCACACCCACATTCGTCTATCAGACTTTGTGAAATTATCTATGGTGACCATATTCGTAAACATAAAATATTACATTTGGGAAATAGTTGATGATGCCAAGGTCAAAATACTGAAAAAACGTCAAACAGATCAGTCGCTGGAACACTGACATTGTTCAGTATTTTAACTCTAGCGTCTCTATTTGTTATCAAATTTTAATTTTTTCTTACAGAAATGATCACCACAGATATCTCCACAATACATGACAAGCGAAACAATTTTCTGAGTCTGTGGTTTTCATGGCTGACCCCCCATGGAAAATACTAATTATACTCTTAAAATATTAGAATTTCTCATGAGTGTATACCACATTATCATCCCATTAGTCATCATTTGTACTCCGAGATCTCGTTTTCGATGAACTTTCATTTTTTTTCCATGCATTCGAGCTGTGTCTGCAGCGAGAAAGATTTTCAGTAACGTTGCAGAATGAAATTATAACCACAGACAGGTTTTATCGTTTGTCTCCTGTCTGGGTCGACATGTAACAGCAAACTGGATGGAGTAGTTAACCGCCACCCTCGGTAATGATGTTTATTGAGCTAATTCACATAAAATACACGCTTATATAGGAGAGACAAAGATAAGCACAAGAAAGAACAATAGAGAGTGGATAAAGAGAAAAGAAAAATCATCAGAGTGTGCCATCATTATCGGCATAGACATTTCCTCCAATGTGTTAGAAATATCTAGTCATCATTTGAATTAAATTCTTTTTAAAAAGTGAGATATATGCTAGAAGGCATGAATCTTTAAAGTCATTCGTGAAGACATGTTACAAAGTAATTTTGATACTCATTATTATATATTTTATTTGATTAGATGTTTCTTAAATGAAACTTTATCCCAACAACATACTGTCAACATTAACAATGATCATTACTATCCAAAATCTTTGCAAAAAACTAATGTATTAGTGCACTTTGCTATTTTATGAATCGTGTATCGAGAATGTAGAGTTTTTCATGTACTGCGAAGCACTTTGTTGAGTTTATATTTGTTGTGCTCAAAAATTGATATTCGATACCTTTATAAAAGGTTGTTCATTAAATATCTAAGAAATAGTATGTTTGAATTTTTTGATATACGTCAAAACTCTATTGAAAATTTCATTGAACTTGATGCATACATATTCTTGAATACATTCTGGATTTTATTTTTAATTCTTATTTCATAACAATTATTCTACTGTGTTTTATTCACGTTATTAAAACAAATTAAAGTTACAACAAAGAAAAATAATCATAAAATTCTTTTGTATGTACCATTGTTTTTTCAATAATTAGTCTTTTTATCTTCATACAATTGAATCGCGTCGCATTTCTTGTAAAGTTGTCTGTCACAGTTCACAGTTTATGATATTGGATTTTTAATTCGATGTGGGTGTGGAGTGGGCATAGCTGGTATTTACATCTACGTCCACATTCACAGCCACACCCTCAATTCTGTATCCAAGCCGTAACTTCTAACTTTGGGATCCCATGCTTCTTCAATGACAATAACCCATTCCAAAATTTGGTCCGAACTTTTTATACAAAACTCATCCCGTTTTTCATCATCTTGTTTATAATAGATCGTATCATAGTTCGCATGCCTAGCATCTGTATTTCGTACTAGTGCTATTCCAGTCTTATCGATTTCCTGTACTCGACCCATGCGAATTTTAGCACAAATAATACCACCACCTGCTCGACCCTGTCTTGTTTCTCCTTCAGTATGCTTAATCGAATGAGCAAAATAAATGCCAAAACCAAGCATTTGTGGCAGTGTACGACTAAGAAGCATGTCACTATGAGCAATTTTAATTGCAGCATCAGCGCTTGTTCGATGAAAGCCGACATAGACGGGTGTGGGTGTAGTAATAGATCAAGAGGAAACAATCACACCCACACCTTTAAGCGAAAAATACTTTTGCTTATAAAATAAATTCAATCATGACAGGTTCCAATAATAAAATCTCATATCTACTTACTTGTTTTCTTTTTGTATGACTCATATAATATACGATCATTGTTTTTCTTGTTATTGCACAATAGTCATGTAATACAACCCAGAAGCCATTTGAATCAACTTAGCTTTACTTTATTCTGTATGATTCATATATAGATGCATGAAAAGAAAAATGAACTTTTTCTATAAATGCACGTGTACTTTTTTTTAGTATTTCTTTTTTGCATGAATTCAAAGAAATTGTGTCATTTACTGTTAAACTAAATTATATAACATTGGAATTCATCCAATATGGAACAGAAAAAGCGACAACGAAGCAATAGTATTGATAATGATGATGATGGTGAAAGAAGAAAGTTTAAAAGTAGTAATCATAAATACATTTTTTAGTTTTTATTTTCTTTTTTTCTTCTAGTGACAACAATCAACACGAATAGGTCTGCCATCGTAATATATATTACTTTTTATTATCAGAGTTTTTCGTTTTTTCAGTTCATCAAGAGAATCTATCACGCATTTTGAAGAATTGTCGAATGAAATTATCTATGAAATATTTGAATTTCTCGACTTTTTTCATATATACGGTGCTTTTATAAATCTCAACAGACGCTTTCAGAATCTTCTTATTTGCTCAACTCTTCCGATTAAAATTAACATTTCATCTATGTCCAAATCACTTCTTCAACATTATTATGTATATATTCTTCTACCTAATAAACATCGAATTAAATCATTACATCTATCAAATCCGTTTACAGTCGATTTTATTTTATCGTCATCAAATTTTCTATCAAAATTGAATCGACTAGAAACATTTATTATTGACCATGTCGAATCAAAATGTCTTGAGGAACTTCTTAATCATTTAATTTGTTTACCTAATCTTTCTTCATTAACTATTACTTCGATTGATAAGATCGATCATCCTAATAATCTCTATATACAAATTCTTCGTTTACCAGTATTAAAATATTGCAAAGTATCATTTGATGAGGACTATAGATTTGAGCCATTAACTATGGCGACCAATGAATACAGTTCTATTGAACATCTTGTCATTGAACGTGGAATTCGGCTCGAAGTTCTTCATCGTCTTTTATCATATGTTCCTCAACTTTGTCGTTTATCATGTCAATCTCTTATAGGATATGACAATTTATCAACAGAAATTAATATTTCAATGAAAAATCTGACACATGCATCTCTCGATCTCTGTCATGTCAGGTTTAATCAATTAGAATGTTTAATCATGAATTATTTTCATAAAATTCAAGTTTTACATATATCTGGAAAAGCTAGTTTAGAAGATTTAGATGCCAATCGATGGAAGCAATTAATATTATCTCATATGCCATATTTGCGCGTTTTCGTTATTCGATTTATATATCATCCGGGCATTATGTATAATCAGTTAACATATGATTCTTTGTTCAATCAATTCAATTCTCAATTTTGGTTCGAACGAAAATGGTTCTTTGATTATCGACATTGTTCGAAATATGGTCGTCGAGATGGAATCTTCTATTCAATAAATCCATACAAGTATGAATAGACCATTTTGTTTCACACAACATGTTTATATAATTTTTTTCAAAGAGGAAAAGATTACAGATTAGTTGGAAAAATGAATGAAAATACTCGTCTATATCATCAAGAAACGAATCTAAATTCAGTTCGTCATGTTTATATCTATGGTGAACAGATAATGAATGATTGCGTCAATTATTTTTCAAATTCTACTTATCTAACATTGTACGATAGTTTTTCTTCAAGAACAAGATCATTTACATCCATTCTCAATCATATTGTCCCTTTGCAACAACTTACTAAAGTAGTCATTGATTCACATAGTTTTTCCTTCCAAAAATTATGCGAATTGTTACGTTCTGCACCAAAAATAAATTCATTAATAATAAACTCTGCAATTCTTAGTGAAACATCTTCTGTATCAATGCGACAAAGTGAAACTTTTCGATCAGTATCAAATACAAATAATATTACGAACGTGACTATTAAAGACAAATGTACGTTAAAAAAAATAAAATTACTTGTTCGTTTGTGTCCTCGACTACAGTATCTAACAATTGATTCGTTCGAACATGATTTTGAGCCAATAATTCGATTCATATTATCAAATGCTAACGAAAATACTCATCGTTTGTTTTTCTTGTGTGTCTCAAATGCGATTTCAACACTGTTGGAGAAATTGAACGCTTTAATCATATCAGAAAAAATCATTGATGATTATTTGATAAAATGTGTTAATCGCAAATTGTATTTACAGTGGTAATATTTAATTAATAATCGACAAATTTATTATTTCCAATTTTACATAAGACATATATTTTACAATTATGACTGTCAAGAAATCATCAACAGATAGCTCATCTGACATGATAATCATTCATCTGTAATTATCTCAAATTAAATATAGCAAGCGACGATGAAAAATGAAATTGAACGACAAGTGAATTCTCACAGTTCCTCACTGTCACTATCACCTCAATAATCTTTGTTTTGTTCAATACAATCACTCATACAAGTTCGAATCGATCTCATTCTGTCAGTCGAATATTCATATTGAATTTTTACCATTCTTTGATTTAATCGCTCATTGAAGCGAATTCTTCTAGCTTACCATCAAATAAAAGTACAAGGGAATGCTACGTATTGATGAAGTACTATTTGAGAATTTGTCATAATTTTGAAATTGTTTTTTTCTAGCCGAACTTGTTGATAAATTATAAGTATTCTATGAGAGATGAATCGAAATAGATATTCTACACTGACACTCCATATTTCACGGATATTGCGTAGTGCTGATACAGCAAGATTATGTAATATAATTTTATCTTATTTTTCTTTATTGTTTTATGTATATGATCTGAGATCTCTATATTACCATTTAACATACACTGTATTTGTTATACATTGTTGTACTATATATCAGTTAAGAAAAAACATCGAAATAGAAAAAAAGAGTATACGAAACATAACTTCTTGTTGTATCAAGCTTTTTCACACAGTCTGATAGAACTTTTAAATGGTAAAACATAAAAAATTACTTTTGTGTCTGCAAAATATTCAAACTATATCGTGATCTGACCCGACCCGAGTTGGGCAATGGTAGGTATGGATGATTCCTACAGCATGGACTTGAAATTTTTCTTCGCGTTGTCTGCTTCTGAACTCGTCCAGACGAGTACCCTACAGATTTCAGTTCTTGAAATGACCCGAAAGAAGAGTTTTTATTTTCTTAACGAAATCATTTCTAATGATTATAATATACAAGATATTCCAAAAATCATTACCGTGAACTAAATTTACATGATGCTACTTTATTACCATCTAAAGAATTTAGTTTTCCCTAATAATAGAGAAGTATTTCAAGTTGTTATTGTTTTGAATGATATGAACGAATCCTTTTAAAACGAAAGTGAATAGTCAGGATGATGAAAAACCTCTAAAATCGAAGAAAATAAAATCATTGAGAAAGAAAAAAGATGATATTCTTTTGACTATCGAAAGAAGACTGAATTTCTGTATTTGATTAAAAAAGCTGTAACTCTCAGCAGTATTCATGAAAGTCATTCATAATAAAAAAAAAATGCAATATTCCTCTATTATTAGCAAAAAACAACCATCTTAGACCGTAACGAGGTAGAATCATGCGAAATTTCTTCACAATGATACCTTTTGGGATTAGGCATGTAACGAACCGGAACACTAGTCGTAAGATTCAGGTTTGGGATTGGGGTATTCAGTGCTGGCTCGGGTTCGGGAGTTCAGAAATATTATCTCGAGTTTTCGTGTTTTTCTTTGAGTAGAACATTATTCACGTGTATTTTGAGTGAAAATATTGATAATCACATGCGGCTAGCAGGTGTATTCTCAAAGGATGACACTACTTAAAGCAATGTTTTCTGATCAGCATAGTCTCAATCTTATTCTAATTAAATATCGTCACCAATCAAATGAAAAGTGCTACCAAAATTGAACTATCATAGTCACTGACTTTGTGAAGTTATTCAACTTATAAGCGAATTCTTTAGATGTTCGTGCCCGTCGCATTCTGCATTTATGGATGACAATCGCAGTTCTTGCATTGTAAAGAATAACGGGGAAAAATAGAAGATAAAATTTTAGAGATAAACGTTTGATATATGATCATAAATAAGATAGCACAATAAAAAAGAATTACTAATACAAAATTGTGAATGAATCCATGAAAATCGTACTATATGATCTTGTATGAGGATGGATGTGGATGTGCGTGTAGGTGGGGCTGAGTGTGGAGTCTGGGCGTTAGTGTGGATGTTTTATTCTCTCGCACTCATACCCTTATCGTTATTATTAAGAGACTTTGCATGTGTCTCTCGTTGAACAAAAAAGGAAAAATGATGTCAGATGTACATCATCTTTTACAAACACTTTAACAATGATGTTCACTACTATCAGACCGACATTGGTCGTCAAAGCATGATTTATTTCATTAATAGATATTATAGCATGACAATAATTATATTAGCCAAGAGCTCATCAAGTGATCACTATTAATTGATATTGTTGCAACAGCAAATGACGCACCAAGCATGGATAATCCCGGGAACCTTATAAAGAAGAATGAATAAAAATTATCACAAATCTACAATGGCAAAATAATAAAATACTCACAACGCCGAGTATTGTAAGTAGAATATTGAGGAATACAGTACCACTACATATTTTGTGGAACTCACATATATTTTCGAAGAAAATAGTGAGTGTAAGTTTTAAGTTCGAGTTTTCGCGGCTCCCCCCCCCCACTCCCCCCGCCACGCCCCCCACTCCCCCCCCCCCCCG